TCTTTTAAATTATCTTTATTCTTCTCTTTCTTTGGCATATCTTCTTTCAGTTTCCGTAGAAATTTTGAGAAATAAGATGATGTACTTCACATTATAACGCAATTTTTCAATATTAAATTATTTTCTTCGTTGCTGTGACACAGAATAAATTCTCGATAGTCAATAAATACAGAATATTTGCGACGAACGAATCCGTTCGACTAGCATTACTGTTTACATGTAGATTGAAACAACATGAAGTCGGATTGAGATGCCGTTACAAACGAATGACTTTGCTATCTCATGTTACGAGAGTATTATTACGAGAGTTATTATTACGAGAGTATCTCAGATTTACGATTTTGTTTGCACTAAAAAAACCCAAGATGTTTACCAAGAAAAATTTAGATGTAAAAATTTTGGACAGATAATATTGGTTTTTTATTTTTATAGGGAGTTTTTTTGGACCAACCGCATTACTATCTAATTTGGAATTTTTTGATGAATTTGCTGCTGATTTCTTGATGAAGATCGAGAATCGTATCATCCGTTACGATTTTTTTATTGATCACGATAAAATTGTAAGTTAACTTGAAATTAAGTTTTATCTCTAACAAAATTATATTACATAATTTGTGATTCAAGACATTTATAGTAAAAATCTCTTTTGAAAAGTTGTATTTTCTTAATGATTATTTATTTGTTTTTGGAATTAATATTTTACATTATAAATAAAATAATTTAAAAATTAAATAGTATTATAAAAAAATAATAAAAACAAAATTTTTTTAGCTTTTAATTTACGAAGATTAATAAATATAAATTATTAATAATTCTAGTTGATTAAATTTGAGATAATTAAACAGTAAAAAATGTAATTTTATTAAAATCCTTACTATTTGTCTTTTTAACAGTTTGATGACTAATTAAACAATCACAATTAAAAACTAGAATATATATAAGATTAAAAATGTTTTTAAAAAGAAAATTAAAAAAAGTTTCGTTTAGGAAGAACCTTGTGTGACGTTTAATTTAACTGAAAGAACATATCCAAAATATTATAATATAGAAAGAATCAATCAAATTATATATATATATATATATATATATATATATATATATATATATAATCATATAGATTATAAATAGTTTTAATTCTTCCAAAATATTTAATTAAAAAGATTTATATACTGGTAATTTATTAAAATAATCTTTAACAATATAATAGATTTTCTTTTAACAATTTTACATTTAAAAAATTTTAAATTATTTTAACAATTAAAATTATATTTTTCTTTCCCTCTCTCTCTCTCTCTAAAAAATATTATAAAATATATCTTGAATTTTTTTAAAAAGAATTTTCAAAAATCTTTATAAATTTTATAAAAAAGATAAATATTCAAGCGAAATTATTTAAAAAGTATTCTTTATCTAGTAAAATTAGGAAAGAATTTCTTTTTCAATAAGGAAAAGTGGCATAAAGTAATTCAGTAATTTTATTGATTCACACCTCTCGATGTTTCCTTATTATAATATTTATAATAATAATCATCATAAAATCATTATAATAATAATAATAATAATAATAAACCGTTATTTCGAATTATTGTACATCGATATATTATTTCATATATATATAATATCTATATCTCGTGTATGTATATATATATATATATATATATATATATATATACTCTATATTAATATTTTATATTTATATATTTATAGACTTTTCTATCTGCGTTTTCCGCGATTAGAGAATAGATTCTTAAAACTCTCTATATTTTATCACCTGCCGAGAGCAAATTCTGGCAACAAGAGATTGAGAAAACTGCGTGCTTAAAAAGAAAACACGCCTTCGCCAAACATCGCGCTATATTCTTAATTTTTTTTAACATTTTATTCTTATTTTGCCGGCATGATTTGCTGTGTCCACCGAGAATTAATGAAAAGTTAATCCCAAAATTGTCTCTTTCGATATCAATTATTATTAACAATAACTAATTAATGTTTTCTATATTAAATTCAATTGAAATAATTAGTAAATTTCTGACTTTTAAAAAAATTAAAAATTAGATTACATAAGATTATTACTAGATATTTCAAAATGTAATATACTAAACATAATATTTCATTAATAATAATTAATATCGAAAAAATTAACGAAAAGAAAGTTCGCTACTTTTTTCTTTTTCATGCAGAAACCAGCATTACTGCAGTTTTATGAGAAAGAAAAAAGGATTTTTTTAAATAAAAATGTGGCCTAAAAGTCCGTAGTTTGTGGGGTTTACTCTATTGATACGACTTCGTACTTAAAACGAGCCTTATAAAACACGGACTTGTTTTAATCCTGATATACATACATACATATATATACATATACATATATATATGTGTATATATATATATATATATATATATATATATATATATATATATATATATATATGTATATATATATATATGATTGGAATAATAATGATAAGAATGATAGTGATTGCGCGTCAATGTACATTATGCTATAATGACAATGATAGCGGTGAACTCGCTTCTGTCGCTTTCGTAGATACGATACTATGAAATTGACTTATATCTGTTGTCCCTCAAATTAAGAATACGGAAATCGATATAATTTTCGTAAATCTAATCGAAATCTAATCGTAATAAAATTTTTGATATAATTTTTTTAATGGAAAAGATAAAATTTATTTATTTACATAGTCTGCATAAATCTTGGTAAAAAAAATCTTTTTTCTTTTTTCTTATTTTCCTAATACAACATACAGAAACAACATGAAGGGATTAATCGTGATATAATCGAAAAAAGAAGTAATACTTAAAGATAAATCAAAATAGTATTAAGTCGAAAAATTAATATTTTTTCATATAACTTAATATTCAAAAAATTTACATTTTATTTAAAGTTATTTATAAAATTTTATCTAAAAATTTATTTTCTATCATCAATTTCGAAAAAAGATTTCGAAAATTGGAAACTCGAGATTCAACTCGAAATTATACCGATTTCTAGATCCAGTTGGATCATTTTCGATTCTTTCTCGCTAATTTTTATCACGTGACTTTCGATCGCGCAATAATTAATTATCGTAATTAGAAGGAAAGAAGAACGCGATGTGGTGCTATATGCAAAAAGACTAGACACTACGTTGTTGTGTTGTTGTTATCAGAGTTAAGTAATAAGAAACAAAGACTATATATCATTATTATATTGAATAAACGAAGAAGAGCGTTTCCAAAGAAACGTCTCTAGCGATCTTTTGTACTTTTTTGATTAAAGATTTGTTACAATCGCTCATTCGTTCATTAGAATGTGTTGTTAAATGTATGAATGAGTGAGTGAATGTATGTGTGTATGATGTTCGATAATAATCTTAACGCTTAAACGTACGTACTACTTGTCTCTTTAATTTCTTCCTCAACGGTTTTTATAAAAGTTCGCATATAGTGTTACCTATAATATTTAACACAATTGTGAACCAAACTTATGCGAAGAATTTAATATATCGTCATCGTTATTATTATTATTAAATGATAATACATTATATTCTTTGCATAAAAATAAAAACTACAATTCTTTTTTCTTCACAGAGCACAAAGCACAAATTTTCAAGTCCGTTATTTATTTTTTCCTATCAACATACCGTTGGAGATAAACGCTCTGGATAATCGCGCGATCTTTCTTGATCATTAAAAAGAAGACAGATCGTTGTTTGTGTGTATTCAGTTGCTTGAACTTTTCAACGCAACTCCGAGTTGTAATAAGTGAAACGAATTAATTGTAAGAACGATTATACACGGAATTTGTTGACTTTTCTAAATTACTATCCTCGAAGATCTTATCGAGTATATCGGAATCCGCATGATTGTACAGGGTGTCCTGTATCGATTTTTAGTAACAGACTTTCTGACTAAAAAGGTAAGAGAAATAAGGTATCTGCATCTATTTAATCTGCATCTAATTTTTACAAAAATCTTATTATTCCAATTATTCAAAATTTAAGTCCATCTAATATAATTTTTAAACGATTATTATATATTGATTTATTCAAAAGTATTTACTCCAAAAATTACTAATCTAAATAATTTTTTTTAGCAAGAAAAAATCGACACCCTGTATTATTTTGTTCGTTATAATGCAGTAGAACTCCTCTATTCTGTCTCTACTATTTTAAATTACCTCCTCACTAAATTGGAATTTTTACAATGTTCTTCTATTACATTTGCTACATGATTACCTGATTATATGTAAAGTGAGAAAATAAGTGAAAGAGAAAGAACGCAATATTTTTTGCATAAGTGCCATCAGAGTTAGAGTAGAAATTGAATAATTCCAGAATAACGAGGAGTCTGACCGATATTTTAAAATAGAGGAATTCGACTATAATGGAATACGCGTCAAAAAATCGTTCGAAAATTTATTCTTCCGAACGTTTTTGCAAAATTCCGCAATTTCGTGAGAGAACATTTTCAAGTTTTTTTCTCTCATTCGAGATTACATTTTTACAAACTATCTGTGAAAAATGTTATTTTCAATAGCCTAACAATTAAATTTCTATTATGCAAAACGGTTCGATAATGTATAACAAACGACAATGTTCTCCACTTTCGCTCACTGTCACTGGCAATGGATTGTATAACACTTATATGTATAATGTATCGTTTAAAGACTTTTATACTAATATAACATACTCAACATTCTTCCCTTTCACCTCAAGAAATTAAATATGTATTTTCTTTTGACGTTTCATTCTGATAAATAATTATTGCATAACTTTCTTGAGTAACGTTATTTAGGTATACATAGAAAAAAATAATTTCAATAGAAAAATACTTTCCTTAACAAAAAAAAGTTTGTCCATTTTTACATTATTTTACTATTTTATAACTGAAAATTTTGAATTTATAGTAATTTAATTATAAATGGAATTTGTAATAATATATGATAATAGTTCAATAATTAATTAATTATTCTAATTTTATATTATTTCAAATTTATTACAATTATGTCAATAATTAATTAATTTTTGAATAATTAATTTTAAAGCATTCAGAACAGTTCACAAATCTAAATTCAAATTTCACACAATTTTACTCGCACGGCGATTAATAGCAATATAACAGAGCTTTCAACTTTTTTAAATAGTACATTGCCAGTGAATATGTATGGACGTAGTAGTTTCTCTGTATCGAGTTATCCATAAAGTACAGAATTCACGTGTATTATAGTTTACATTTTATATAACTCTAGCTATTTTAAAATTTTCAGCCAAGAGTAAACTTGTGAGAACAGAGATGCTTCTCATGTCAGTCGCAATACTTCTTTCTTAGGATTACCATACTACTCATCTTCAGTATCACCATCGCTGCTGTAATCCTGCAGAATGGGTGGTCTTGAAAAGGGTGCTTCGTTGGTTTGACTGCAATATTAGAAAAGAAAAAGATGTTACATCTAATATGCTAGGATAATCTCCACATTTTATCCTCTTTTAAATTTTCAGTACTTGATCTCCAAGCATCAAAAGTTATTAACTATTTAAAATGTATTTTAATATTATGTGATCTTTGTCTTTTTTTAAAATAAAAATCAAAATATTCTTTAATTATATTAATTATATTATATCAATTATATTACATAAATTATATGATATAATTATAATTATATGATTATTTAAATTATATATATATTAAAATATATGATGTAATTATTATTATATGATTATTTAAATTAATAATATCTATATTAATAATATGATATATAATAAAAATATATAATATAAAATATATTAAAAATAGATAATATATAAAATATATTAATAATATTCTTAATTGTATTAAGTTTTTTTGACTTCTTCCTTAATTTGTTTTAAATTTCTCTACATTATCATTATGATTTTTCAATGAATTAACGAAACAAGACATTACTCACGCTAATCTACGATAATGATTCAACCATTCCTCTAACATTTGCGCAACGAGGAGTGGTCTTTTATGAAGCTTCTGATGCGCGACAAGAATTCCACCCTCGGTCCTGCACACGTCCAACCACTCCTTGTAGATGGATTCCTCGCGGCCGATTTCATCCGCCGTAAGAAAATGTATCGGTAAGAGTTTATGCTCGCGGTCCATTAGCGGCATGAAAGTGGTTTGCATCTGAATCTGCATTTGTTCGAGCGAGCTGTTGTTGCTGCTAACCACCCCATGGGACGCTAGGGCTGGTATTCTGGACGAGGTGTACGGTTCAATTGGCACCAATGCCGTGAAGTGGCCGCGAGTGTAACCTAAGGCGATCGGTGAACGAATGCAAAACGAAGGTTCCCAGAGCAACGGAAGATAGACACCTTCGAATCTCGCATAGCCTACGAAATTAAGGCAAATAATCGATTAAATCTTAAACTCAATATTACCTTTCATATCTTTAAATCGATTAAAAATCGATTTTTAAATCTTCGAAATTATTGTGTGTATAAAGTTTGCAAATTTTTAAAAAAGGGAAACATATATTTCATAAAACTTTCTATAAGTTAACAGGAACTTGAGAGAAAATAATTTTTAATTTAAATTTAATTATGATTATAAATAGAAATCGAAAAACTATTCGAGAGAATTGAAATTTAAAAAAATTATACTATTATGATTAATTACTAAATAACAATAAAATGTTGTATTTACCTATATCTTCACCGCGAAAGCTCTTAACATATTTAACTCCGTAGACGATAATAGGTCGTCTTAAAATATGGGCAAGAGCAAATACATGCAATTGTTCTAACGCACTTCCAGGTTGAGCGGCCGTTGCCAATAAACTTCCCAGTCTTCTTGCCATTGTGTCTCTTCTAAAGTAAAATCTAACATTCTAGCTGCCTGCGAGGCTTCATATTCTCTCCAACGAGGATAAAAGCTGAAATAATATTATGATATTATTATATCTATATGAATATATTTGAGTCATTTTATCAGTTTGCATATTATTAAAGCATTATTATTACTAATATCTTAAATTCATTATATAAATGTATATGTATTTCTAATAAATTATTAATTAAACTAATTATATTAATATAATATACATTACATTATATTAAATTGATTATATAAAGCGCTTACAATTGTCCGGCTTGTTGCAAGGTGTCAGCGAGCGCTCTTCTCAGAGCATTGTCCCTATCGAAAACACCCCAGGTTGCCTGCATGGCGGAATCTAGGAGGCAGTCTCCGGCTGATCGATTCCAAAGTGCATGTAAACGACTGCCTAATCGTTCAGTAATTTCTAAGGACCAATTTAGGGCTGGCGGTTCACCGCCACCACCCTCTAGTTGCTGTTGAGCTTCTTTGTCTAACAATTCCTCCAGCATCTGCTCTTGCACGATACTCGGTAAGTCTTCGACCTTAAAAGAAATAAAAAAATATTTATAAATAATTATAGAACAATAATATTTATATATTTGTCTTTATAAATAAACATTGAATATTCAAAGAATTTTAAAAAAAGATAAGAAAAGATAAAAATTCAAATAAAAGAAACTTAAAATATAAAATTTAGAGAAGTTAAAAAAAATTATTTGAAAGAAATTTAGAAGTTACAGAAGTTTAAAACGATACTTTAATATTTAAAAATGTATACTGATTTTATTATTTTGATATTTATTAGAAATATTGACTATAAATGAACTAAACTTTTAACTTTCGATTAAAATTTATATTAAATAATTATATATATATATTATAGTAACCTCAGCTGGCAGCGCGAAAGTGGCCATGTCAGTGACGAAATAACAGGGAAAGGAACCTTTGCGTAAGCGTATACTATTGGTGACATGTCGACGAATCTGCACCGCAAGATCTGGCGCTACGTAGCTCGGTACCCTCTTTACTCCCGAGCCTGAACCCTCGATTTGTGACAGCAATGTTGCTAAAATATCTTCTCTTTGAAACCTTAAAATCGTACAAATTAAATTATAAGAATATATAATCAAGAGTGTTTATTTACAGGATTCAAAATATTATCCTTATTGAAAATATCTCAAATGACTTGCATAGTAAGAGTTTTATTTATAATTTTAATATTGTGATAAAAATAATTATGTAATTATAGGAATATACATTTTAAGACAAAAGAAGGAAAATGTAGACTAATATGAACAGAAATCATTTGTCCCTTTTCTTTCTTGATTTAATAAAATTTTCTCTGGCACGTTTAAATTTTTTCTCTAATTTTTATTATTTAATTCTTCATTCAAATTTTTCTTTTTTATTTTCCAACCGCAGAGTGTCTTTATATTTTCGAAATTTTATTCAATCTATTAATATCTATGAGATAATTTTATTTTATTTATCAATATTAATACTATTAATTTTATAAAAATATTTAATTTGTCTATTTACCTAATAGCCAAGTGCACTAAAGTGTGGCCGACGTCAAACGCGCTGCTTCTATTGAGGAGCAAGACCTCAGAATGCGTCAATTGGCGGGCGGGATCGCCTCCGCTCGCCAGGTAAGCTTCGACGGGAGTGTTGTCACCTTCGACAATACCGAGACAAGCATTGAGCCAACACCAATCGGTGTGACGTCTCAGTTGCTTCAATCGGCGCTCGTAATCACAGTTATTCGGGGACTGAGGGGTCGACAGGCTGTCATTTCGACTATCTGCATACCTATGTGAACCTCTGAAAAATTATATATCCATATATTCTCACAAAATACATATACATAAATATTATAGTGAATTTTATTCAGATTTAAAATATTTAATAAACTAGTTAAACCACGTATTACATTTCTGTGAACTTATCCATAGATTCACAGAAATGTAATATACATATGATAATAATATCTGTAATATATGTAAACATATAAAATGTAATAATATATATATAATTATATCTGTTGTATATAATTATGTCTGTATATAAAAAGATATAATACTGCATTATATATAACAAGAAAAATGATATTATTCTGGGAGTATGTAATATTCACAAAGAATGCAAGTTGTAAAAAATAATTAGTTTACCTTCTTCCTATCGCTAAATTATCCTCTCTCTGTGTCTGATGAATATAGGACGCGTGCAACGGAGGTGATGGCAGGCTCCGTTGACTATGCTCCCTCTCGGGACTCGGTAAAATCACTCCTACATTTCCTTGCGTACCCTTATCCCTTCTATCCTTCTCCTTTGGATGACCGCACATGATGCATTTAGTCGCTTTGGGCCAGTTCTCATAAGTACACACGTGACAGGACCATTTTTCTGGATGCATATTATACAACCTTTCCGGATGGAGATTGATTGGCGAAGAATTCAATTGAGAATTCGAGCCCGAGTTTGGCGGCCCATCGGCTAATCGTAGCGGTGCTAAATGTTCGTGCAGATTCGAGGCTAACGAATTGACGGATTGATTGACTGGCTTACGATTGCTGCACTGAACGCAACGCGTTGTATTCTGATAATTAAGATAAGTGCACATGCTACAGGCCCACTTCCCCGCAGAGGGTACATTCTGGCTATAATTTTGTGAGATGTAGTTGTCCGTAGGGCTTATTTGGGGCACAGGACCGGAAGCGACATTGGAGGAGCCTCTTTGAGGACTAGGATCCCGAAGACGGTATATGTCTTCATTTAGAAGAGGTTTAGTGCCCCTGCACATGGTGCATTTTAAAGAGGAGGGCCAGTTCTTGTAAGTGCAGTACTCGCAGATCCATTTCTGCTCCGATTCTTCAAGTCTGCTGGTCATCTTCACCAAATAAAAGTTGTTCAATGAAGTTTTTTTTTTGGTCTCTTTGCTGCGAATAATGCAGTACTTCTTGATGAAGGAGAAAATATTAAGGTGAAATATATGCACCGAGCATTAAATATCCTAAATATCCTGAATGAATTTTTTCTATGCGTTGCTGTACATGATCTATTGGGAAATTTGTATCTAAGTGCTTGGTTTCTATGGTTCAATTTGTGCTACGTGATTAGCATTATGTTTGATTGTGATGAGACAAAGCTGCTAGAGATGCGCCAATGTGGACATTGGTGGAAGAATCTAAAATGAGAAACAACAAAATTTACGTGTCAAGTTTACCATAAGTTTTATATATGCTCTTATATAAGAAAAATGTCGAATAAAATAGAACAATCTAACTTATATATTTTGTACATAACATGCAATATCATTAGAATTTTTCTTAATTATTCACATTGTCTTTTAAATTATTAACAAAATCTTTTTACTTATTTATCTTGTTTAAAAATTATTATACTATATATATGTATGTATATGAAGCAAAATACAAATAACAATTCTATTAATTTCAGCTTTTGAGAACTTTCTGTATATAAAAAATTGGAACAAGCAGACAATATTATGAATAAATTTCATATTAAATATCCATTGTGCAAGATAACATATTATCTAATTTATTTGTCTACACTTTCTCAACACTTTCTTTTGCTCTTTAAAATAGATGTAAGATTGATTCAGTTTTCATATAAACATTAAAAAAAATTGTTTAACTACCTTACTAGAATATACAAATACTTTGGATTTATATTTACTGTGGCTCTTTTTTTAATTACATGCAAATGACCTTTTTACATCGCGTACAAACATGTTTGTACGTCCGACGTACTTGTTCTTAATTTAATTTTTTTCAAAAACAAATTCGCACATAAGTGTATCTCGAAAAGATTAAAATTAAAAATGCCTCTATTCTGCTTCATTTACACTCGAGCAAGTCGGAAAAAACACGCGACACCGCGTGATTCCCTAGAACCCTTTATCCACGCTCATCGAAGCGTCTCGACGGCGAACCTAACCTAACCTCGGAGAACGAGAAACTCCTGTCGACGAGCAGGACGAATAATTCGCAATACGAAAATGACATTTGCGTTACTTCCAGATAATCGAGAGACGCGTTACCTCGTCGGATCGGTAACCTCGATGTTATCCCGAACCACCTTGGAGCTTCTCGCGCGACGAAAACCAACGTCACACAGGACTATCCTCCATCGAAGAACCTTTCAAATCGACACTATCCAGACTCTCGTGTCATTCGTACACCAGGGAGCATTCGCGCCACGTCGCATTCAGCGAAACGGCAGGTAGGAGCTTCTACGAGAGACGCACTTATACACACGCGCGCGCGATTTCGCGGAGGAAGAAATAAAAAAGAGAAATATCCCGGATATTCTTCGCCTCCTTCCTCTCCCTTCCTGCGAAAAATTATATTTTAAGAACGACGATAGGGAGAGAGGGCACCGAGAGCAACGAGCCTCTTCGTCGAGGAGACGAAGACACACGGTAGAAGCGCGGAGTCTCGCTGTCACTGTGCGCGACCGCGTCACGTCATCGTCTGGAACGGCGTCCCGTTCCTCGAGCTGTCAAACTCGACGCTGGGGCGGGTTATTCGCTTCGACGAGGACTGCGACGATCGACGACGACGACGACGACGACGACGACGGCGACGGCGACGAGGTCGACGATGTCGTTCACGCTAGTCACGGAGGTAGGTTTTGACAGTCATCCGCAAACAGACGGACGCCAGTATTGCCAACCGCGCGCGCGACAGAGTGCCGTTACGTCACGCGCGAGCGCGCGCATGCGTGGGCGAACCGCCAATCAAGCGAGCTGTCAAAAGTGCTCGCGAGCGGCGCGGACCGAGACGGGGATCGACTTAACCTTACTTTCTCCTCTTCGCGGAATTGAATATTTCACTGGTAAATATCGCTCGATGTTCGTCCGAAAATGTAATTTTGTTGGTTAATATAATTTAATCTCGATCTTAAATTCCGAAAATCAATTACGCGGGATGTTTTTTCAGTATAATCTAACCTAACCTAACTTAATGAACACTGTTTAATCTTTTTTGTTGATTGCTAATTTTTGTACAGTTTTTTCGCGCTTTTCTTTTCTTCTCTTAAAAAATTAAAATCGCGAGAATGTATAATTGCGAACACCGACTATTTTAATGATTATTGATTGACTTGGCGAATCTAACCTCAATTGTTCCTCTTGTGTTTTTCTTTCCCCGATTTCCGTCGAGAGATACGAGGAAACTCGTCGATAAATCGCGCCAGGACGCAAGTAGGATTTTTACAACTCGGGTTTTGATTATTTACAGAAATATGCCACTGTTACCAACTGGTTTGTTGATCCCGTTACATCACGCGAGACTGACTTTGTCTCGAAACGTGTTCGTATAATTTTACTATCATTATTCCTATTTCGTCGGCAAAGATGAAATCACTGATAATAATTCAAGAGAGAGATTCCTCATTTTTTTCATTTTTTTTTCAACATCCTCGATGATTTTCAAAAATCGCGGAACAAAATATTATTCATCTTATTTATATGCACATTTTAAATTCGAAGCCAAATTACTTGTAAATTTATAAAATTACGTCCATAAATTAAAAATTTGCGGTTTTAGATTGTTTTTTGTTTTCAGTTTGACAAATTCTAATTAAAATTAAAAACCCGAATTGCACTCAATGATTCCCTCTAGCTAGACTATTTTTTATTTATAAATATATCTCGGGCCAGCTGCCAAACTCTGTTGGGGACCTAAACCTAAACATTTATCCTTGACATTTCGTCAACAAGATCGCGATATTGTACTTTTTGGCGAGAAGCTATAAAAACCGAAACGTTTTCCCGCGTTAATATATATATATATATATATATATATATATATATATATATATATATATATATATATATATTTATATATATACATAGATTATTTTTCTAAAAATCTGATCCACGTTAGAATTTTCGCATGTAAACGAGTCCTACTTTTTAATGTGAGATGATTAATTGAGGAAGAATATGTTAACTTTCTCTTTCCAGCGCTCATATAATTATATATATTTATCTCGCAGAAAAATTCCGGGGACTCAAACGAACCTCGTGCTTCACATGTCGTCTGCTGCGGTAAACTCGTGACGTCATCGGCGATCAGCTGAGATGCGTTAGTCATGGAGCACGCGTCAACCACGTGTTTACCAGCAATGAACGTGAACTGTTCGTCGTCGTCGTTGGACGACGTAAGGACGAGATTAACAATTCGGGTGCTGTACGGAAGCGAGACCGGAACTGCACAGGATGTCGCTGAGCAGATTTGGAAGAGCGCCCAAAGGTTTGTTATTGTTTCCCTTCCTGGCAAACGAACTCGAAATTCTTCTCTAGGAAAATTTTTGGCACATGAACCCCCATTATTCTTATAACTTTAAATGATCTTTAAATAGATATTTGAATGTCATGTCTTTTTATTCTTTCTATCTTCACTTACATATAAAACGTATTCGATTTTGAAGATAAATTATCTATTCTTATTTTATAAACTTTGAGATGTACGAAATATATATATATTATTTTATTCTAATTTAGAAAATAATTATGTTTACAATAAAAAAGTACACAATATTCTACATTTAAAAATTTTTAATTTAGTATAATTATACATTCCACATTTTGAAACTTTGAATACAGACATTTAAATACAAATATTTGTTTGAAATTTTAAAGAAAACAACTGCAAAGCACTGTCTCATCTTTGGACGAGTATGACATACAAAATCTCTCTTCCGAGGAACTAGTTGTGTTTGTTGTTGCAACTACTGGGCAAGGCGATCCACCAGCTAACATGAAAATATTCTGGAGACGTCTACTAGGCAAAAGTCTTCGATCAGATCTGCTGCAACATCTAAAATATGGTGTACTTGGTTTAGGTGATAGTTCTTATTCCAAATTCAACTTTGCTGCAAAGAAGTTAGACAAACGTCTTGCGCAATTAAGTGCCATAGAGTTATTACCTATAGGACTCGCTGATGATCAGCATAATTTAGGCATTGATGCTGTAGTTGATCCCTGGATTAAAAAATTGTGGGAAGAAATTGCAAATGTTTTTAAAATTTCTGTAGAAGACAAAATTGGAGAAAATTTAATTATTGCAAAGTATTGCATTTCAATACAAAAAACGAGTGATTTCTCAAATTTATTAATTTCAAATGATGGATGGATAATAACCCGTCCAAATGGATTAGAAAACATCTATGAAGATGAAACATATGCAAATGTAAATGTTAAAATAGGAACAATAATTGACAATGTAAGAACTACCTCAGAAAATCATTTTCAAGATGTTAGATTAATAAGTATTTCAATACCATATAGTATTGATTATGATCCTGGAGATGTTATTTATATTAGATCAATGAATTCTATGGAACAAGTGAACCGTTTTTTTAATATACTTCACGAAAACAATGTAGAATTGTATTCAGATATGATGGTTGTTGTAACAAAGAAGAAAATAAAAGTTCCATTTGTTTTGCAAAAATGTTTAACTTTAGGAACAATTGTTGAACAATATTGGGATTTGAATTTCAAGCCACGAAGGTCTACAATGCATTATTTGTCTCTTATCAGTGAAAATGAGTTAGAAAAAGAAAAATTATGTGAATTTGCTAGTCCAGATGGCCAAGAAGAATTTTATGATTACGTCAGCAGACCAAGAAGAAATATTTTGGAGGTTCTAGCTGACTTTCCTCATACCACTAGTAAACTAAACATTGAAGTGTTATTTGAAATTATGTCACCCATAAGACCACGTCCTTATAGTATCGCCTCCAGCTCATACGCTACTCCTACTATGATTCAAATTTTAGTAGCAATAGTTGAATTCAAAACTAGATTGCTAGAGCCAAGATTTGGTTTATGTTCGAAATGGTTGGCAAGTTTAAAAAAAGATGACAAAGTAATATTTTGGTTTCAAAAGGGAACTTTTAGATTTGAAGATAATAAGCCGATGATTTTGATTGGTCCTGGAACTGGAGTGGCTCCATTTAGATCCTTTCTTTTGGAGAAAGAAGAAGAAAATAAAGATTTGAAGGAATGTGTTTTGTTTTTTGGCTGCAGAAATAAGGATAAGGATTATCACTGTAGACGGGATTTTGAACGCTTATCAAGAAGAAGTAATTTGAAAGTGTTCTGTGCATTTTCCAGGGATCAATGTTATAAAGTGTAAGTCATCCACAATTGATTATAAAAATTTAATCGTGATGATAATAATAAAAGTACAAACTATAAAATTATATTTATTTATAAAATCTTAGTATTTTTAATTTTCTTGATTGTTAATTGTATACATATATTGTAAACGTATATTTTATTTTTTCAGATATGTGCAACATATTATTCGCGATCAAAAAGAGCTATGCTGGCAGTTTTTACAAAATGGGGGCAGCATTTATTTGGCAGGAAATTCTAAAAATATGCCGACCGACGTGCGCAATGAATTCATTACTTTGGCACAGGAATTGGGTGAAATGAACATAGAACAGGCGCAAGCGTTCATCAAGGATTTAGAAAATAAAAATCGATATCAAATTGAGACTTGGGGTTGATCAAAAAAATCATTAAAAAAAAATCACATTGTTTCTTCAAGAAAAATATTTAACATTATATTAGATTTCCTTTTTGTACAAAGAAAAAAATGTATATATATTTTTTTCACATTTATATATACATATGTAATATAAATATATATTATCTATGCATTATTTATTCATTCAGACACACTTGATTGATACATATATAAGTATTTATTTTAAATATTTATGTGCATGTCTGATTATATAAATTTTGAAAAGTGCTTGGATAAATATGTACAGATATATATATTTATATGTGTTCTATATATATATATATATATGCATATAAATAATAAAAGAGAATTTGTTATATTTATGTATTTGTGTATCTTATATATTTCTTACATTCAAGAAACTGAAATTAATCATCAATATTATACATTATATTAATATTATTACATAGTAGTATTATATATGTAAATATTATGGAAGTTTTAGCTGATTAATTTACATACATATATTCTATATTATAAAATATACAGGGTGATTCAGGAGGAAAGGTAAAGATTTTAGTGGGTGATAGTATAGGCAAATACGAACAAAAAATGTCCTATTAACATGTGTCTTATTTTTATTGGTTACAATAAACCACTCACAGCAGAAAAAAAATCAAAGGCACAAACAAAAGTAGACGCAAATGACTAAGTTCAAAGTTGATTTTCAAAAATGCCACCTCCGACTTCAATACACTTTCTAATTCTTTTGACTGTACTACGTGTAGCTCTTCTGAGGTCATCTTGACGTTCTTTTATGAGAGCAGCAGTATTCATAATAAGACACATGTTAATAGGACATTTTTTGTTCGCATTTGCCTATACTATCACCCACTAAAATCTTTACCTTTCCTCCTGAATCACCCTGTATTTTTAATATATAATAATTATAATATATAATATGAATATTATATAATATAATATTATGTATATTATATTATGTATAATATTAATATTATACCTATTTAATATATATAATAAATAATATAATTATTGCTTATTACATATATAATATATATTATGTATTACATATTTCAATACGCGTCGTAATTTTTATGCCTTTTCGAATCTCGTAAACACTCGGCAATCTTCGGCGCTCTTCGCGACGAGAGGCAGCGAGCAGCGCCGAGATGCGTATCTTGATGAACTCTTAACCCCGCGACCTAACCTAGGAAAATAGTGGGCGATACGGAAACATGTACGCTCGCGTGTCCCGCAGTGTTCCCGGTATCTCGAACGATCTTGGCTACGTTTAGTCGTTAACTGCGCTTGCCTTTTTTCTCTCCGTGCGCACGACGCTACGAAACAAGCAAATAAAAACACTCTGCTCGCAAACGACCGATGGACATTGGCACGTGATTTTTTTTTCGTCACACCACGCTCTCCTCTGATGGTCCATTAGCGTCGATAAGCTCAACAATAAGCTTAGCAAAGCTCACCGGTAGTCGAGTTCGAGACGAGCATCCGCAGGAAGGTTCGGTATGAGATTTAGCTTTTCTTCTGCATGACTACACTTTTATCTCACTTATAACCTTAAACCTGTCTATCTTATCTCGAGAGAAGATCCATTCAGAATCTATACAATTGTAATATTTAGGACACGTCTTTATACGTAGAAGAGAGAATATTTAATATTATATACTTGAGAAAGTATGTATTTTAATATTCTGTTAGATTACTCTTAATCTACATAAGGAATACCGGATATGTACAATTTCGCAATTGAATCTAATATCTAAATAATTGCCTGGATGAAAAAAGAGATTTTATTTCTAATTGTTTTAGTTAAAGAGGGTTTATATTTGAATATTATTGTATTAATTTCTTTACTAATCTTACAATTATGATGTATTTGATTCCATAATCATTACATTAGATTATGTAATATTTAAGAATCGGAAGGATATTTTATGCACTTTTTGACACTACATTTATATTTTTATATATCTTGCATTATTCTGATTATACACTGTTATCACTTGATAATTGCTTAAAATATTTGAATATTTTTAATATGGATATACATTATTTATTTTAACATTCTCAGATTAATAATCCTTATGATAATATTAAATTTCATGAAACTTTCAAAATATCATGCATTCTATGAAATTGTCAAAATTGTGTTGAAATATTTCAGAATATAAATATGTAGAATAATTTATGTAATAAAATATTGCTTTTAAAAACAAGATACAAAGTAAAGTTGTTAAATAATATATATACTATAAATAATATTCTTATATTATTTGTGTCACTCTTCAAGTAATCTTCGTAGCACTATCATTTACTCAATTCTGCTTTTACCAGAAATAGACTCAATGAATTAAGCTTGTGTAGTATATAGCTAATGTATGTAGAAAATGTATGGTTGGTCAACGATCTCCTAATGAATCATTGGAAATAGTGTTTATATTTCTTCCAACGAGCACGTGATCCTATCTTGTTCTAAGAATAATCAACTGAGGTTTGATCTTTGATTCGAGGAATCTATTTGTAAGCAAAAAGAAATTAATGCTATTATAAAGAGCAATCTGTTGTAAACAAATACACATGCTTTAAATACTTTATATCATCGCATTTAAAAAAAAAACAGCTTACATTAATGTAATAATATGTTAAAGAACAATCTGATAAAAATACATATGCTGTAAATACATTATAATATATCATTGTATTTAAACAACTCATTAATTTATATTACAAAATTTATTTATATATAATTTAAGAATATCTTATTTATTTTAATAATTTCTTTAATAATATTATTCAGGTTTTATGAAGAGATCACATTAAGTCATTTTTTTTTTAAATGAAAATATATATTTTATTTTTATGGTTTCGCATCAACAATATTTTTGCAATAACATTGTCTATAAATTATAAATTAAACGAAATTAATATTAGTATATAAAACGAAAATTTTATGTGAGGTAGTGATATTTGATTAATAAATATTTACATGTTTCAGACGAAGATTAAATTACGGGAAAGAGTGCAGAAAGTATAACTAAATCTACGTTCTTTCTGGGGACCGATCGTCGAAAGATGTAAAGTCGTCGCTGAGGTCATCATTGAAGTTCGTTTGTCAACGTTTGAAGAATCTCTATTGTGTAACGAAAAAGAAGAAGTAAAGCAAAAATAGGAAAAATGGCAGGCACTTACACGAAGAAGGAATTTGGCGCGGGACCTGAGGAGCAGACTCTGTTGAAGGATTCCAACGGGACCCGCATCGTGGCTTCGAAAGGTATATAGTGGGACGCGCTGGTTACATGGGAATGCAGTAGCTTTCTTGGAATATCGTTGTTTTGTCATTTTATTTTATCCTGATGTATACCTGCCCAAACCAGTCTGTAGAGGAGGCTTTCAGGCTGCAGATGCAGCATTCTTGCCAGTGAAGTGTTTGTGGACTTAACATTGCTAGTTTCTTGGATTTTATTTATTGAAAGCTTATACTTTTTCTTTTATGTAATATATATATATATATATATAATATTCTATTATATATTTATATATATAGTATAATAATAAATTTTATTTATTATTTAATATTTAACAAGAATATATAATAACAAAGAAACTACACTGGTTTGTTTATATATATAATTAGCAAATTACATTTTTTATGCATGATATATAATTTTACATATCTTACTATTTATAAATCTTATAATTCTGTGAAGTTTAAGTAGTTTTGAAAATTTATTTTTCCTTATAAACGAAATTCGTAAAGAGTAATAAATTTAAAATAATTCAATATTTCTATAGTAGAAACATTTTCTATTTTGCATGGTCTATTATTATATTAATTTAATCTTTTTTCATTAAGAACTTTCTGATATCAGTTTTAAAAATTTTTATTTTTTGAACTTGAAAAGTATATATATAATTAATCTTATCAATCATTTTAAATCAGAAACTTCTAAGCTTTTCTTCACGAATCTCAAAAGTCTTTCTCATGTTTCTCATTTATATACTTATTTTACTTTATTATTTAGTCAGTCATGAGAGAAGAGATAAGATATATATTTTGAAAATAACAACTTTCTTTTTTTGTGTTATCTTAATTTGTAATATAAATCATAAACATATTCGGAATTCTTGAAAAACAAAATATCATGCCAAAATATTAAAAGTTTAGATTCGTCAAAAATCTATTGAAAATTAATTTATTAAAAAATAATGTATTAATTTATATAGAGAGAGAGATATATACAATTTTATTTAGTTATCTTGTAATATATATTCTCTATTTATATTTAATTTTTCTATTTAAATTTCTCTGTTTTTTATTTTTATATAAAATTTACTTATATTTTTTTATTATATTTTCTTATTTTATATACATCTTATATTTCAACTTCTAAGCTTCTTTTATATTAAAGTTAACGCAATATTTAACATTATTAATAGTTTATTAAAAAATTGTATAGAATTGATATTAAACATTATAATTTCTATTTTAAAAAATATGTGGAAGCAATTTTCGGGATAAGTTTTTAACATTATTTAATCTGCATATAAAATATATGCAGATAAATGCATATAAAAACATATTTAAAAGTGTTAAATATATATAATGATAATGTGATAACTAAATTTTAGTGTAACTTATGTACAAACGAAACATTCTCTCATGTTTTATTTTGCTGATATATCATGCTGATTTAGCTGAATAAAAAGCGCGAGCCTTTCATGCAGTCACTGACAGAATGAGAAGTATGAGACGCCCTCGCGAAATAGTATCTCACAGACGATGAATAAAAAGTAATCAGTAGTAATAATTCACTGAGCAGTGATATAAGCTTCTTCATATTATCTATCTGATCATTATTCTTGTGCTTTTATTTTTTTACTTTTACATTAAAAACTAAAATTAAAATGTTTATTAATGTTTATTGCTTTGTGTAAATAATTCAGTGCAAGACAAATGGCTGGAAAAGGTATTTTTTCTTAATTGTTAATTTTATCTTAATAATTTGTTTTACCAATTTTTTTCAAGATTTTTAATAACTTATACTTTTTAACAACTTATATTACTATGTTAATTATGTTAATTTAATATAAGTCTCTTTATTGTTATTTATTATTATAATTTATTATATCAATTTTACTATACAATATATATTTATATATATTATACAATATAGATATTAGAATAATTTTATTTACAAAAGATTATAAATGATAATTCAGAGTATAAAATAAGTTTTTATTTCACAGGTTGTATTTGCACATCTTATAATACTTTTCCTCTATTTATCGGTAATTGATAATCAATTAATGTATCACAAATGCATGTGAATTTTTTATTACATTTTTTTTGTAAATTATTAATATCTCATGTATTATGTTCTCAGACTACATCAATTGATTTTAATGGATCAATTTATTGCGACATTCTATTATAACAGCTGCACACAATTATAATATGTATTTGGTTGTAATCAGTTATCTATGTGTCTAAATTAACTTTCTATGTATATCAGCTATATGCCAAAATTTTTTACACAATACTACCAATTCAAATATTTAGTGATTATTCAAAGGATTGTTCGTGCTCTGTTAAAATGATTATTTTTAATTATAATTGTAAAAATCAAGACTTAATAAATCTTAGATTTATTCATGATTATATAGGATTATATCTTATATATAATAATTTTAGATAAATTATTTAAAAGTATTTATATTAGAGCATATATATATATATATATATATATATATATATATAATTATAATTAATTTTTAATTTAGAAATTTAAAGCAAAAGAATATTAATTTAATTTTGAAAATAATTTTTATTATTATTTAATTTAATCAAACTCATTTAAAGGTTCAGAACCTGTGCGACTGTCACCAGGATGGGAAGGCACAGGTAGACCTGACGACGAACTTAATTTTAAAGGTGTCACAATGGATCAAGCAGATCTCGAATTGAATCCTCCTAGAGATAGGTATAACAATATTATTCGTTTGTTGTATTATTTAATAAGAATTATCTGTATATTAATGTAAACTTTATATATTTATTAATTCTATATATCTATTTCTTGTATAAAAAATTCGTTAATTTAAACACAACTGTTTTAGATTAAATTTAGTATTTTGTATACTCGTACTTCATGGAATCGGTGCCTTGATGCCATGGAATATGTTTATAACAGCTAAAGACGTAAGTAAATCAAGTATAATAATTCATAATAATACAGTTGATTATAATGCAATCTCCATAAAACATTGGTATATTTTGCAGTATTTTGTGAGTTATAAATTGTCAAAGGAGTATACTGATGTAGATACAAACTATGCTACAAATTTTCTCGCGTATCTAGGATTCGCGGCGCAAATTCCGAATCTACTATTTAATTGGCTGAATGTGTTTCTACAATTGGGGTATGTATACAAAATAAAATGTATTTTGTAATAAGAGATTTTTATAATCTTTTTTAAATAATGGTTTACTTTACTTTATTATTAATAATGTGTATTAATAATGATTGAATTATAAATTATAAATTTTTTAATTGATTTTATCTTACTGAGTATATTATTAATTAAATAAAATTATTGTGATATAATTTTTTTATTTAATTAAAAATTAATTTAATTATATTTAATTATATTTTATATTAGTATGTTATTAATCAAATTATTGAAAGATATACTAAAATAATAAAATAGTAAAGGAATTTCACTAATAGTAGTAAAATTGTAATTTGTTAAATAATAATATAGTTTATTGAGGACATGCGTTTTTGACTTTTCAGAGGCAACTTAACAACGCGCATAGTATGGAGCATTTTTATACTGGTTGTAGTATTTGTATTTACTGTCGTTTTAGCGATGATTGACAGTTCTGGTTGGCCCGGAGTGTTCTTCTGGACTACTATGGTATCCGTTGTTATATTAAATAGTAAGTAACATATACATTTTTATTTATGACATTTAAAGATAAATTTTACGAAAAATTTTCCTTTAAAATTTGTTTACTTTTATATAAAGCTTTCTAATATCAATTTATCAATATTGAAAACTATTATACATATATCAAATTAAATTATTATATTACATTAAGTCATACTCTTTTATAATTATTAATTTAATAATAAAAATTATATATTATATAATTATATAATAAATAGTATATAATATATAAATAGTAATATATAATAAATTATATATATTATATATAATAATAATATATCATTATATTTTTATAAATTAATTTATACTTATAATTATTAATTCTTGACATTATTATTAATTGGTATTCTGTTTATAATGGAAACTTTATATTTTAGCTGCCAATGGCATTTACCAAAATTCGGTGTTTGGAATGGCAGCAAAGCTGCCTATCAAGTACACAGGCGCTGTTATTTTAGGCTCGGTAAATATCGATATCAAATATCAATATTACATTTGACAAAGAATCATTGCATAATGTATAAACCTCTGTCATCTATTATTTTCAGAATATTAGTGGAACTTTTACAGCCATAATAAACTTCCTTGCACAAATAATGGCGCCGAATGCACGTACTGCCGCTATATATTACTTCATCACGGCTTTGTTTATCCTACTGGCTTGCTTTGACACATATTTCGCACTTCCAATTAATGTAAGATCGTATCTCTTATTTGAATATTATTTACCAATATTTATTTCCATATGTGCTTAACTGAAAAATAAATTGATCAGTTTTTTGATAAATTAATGAATTAAGAATAAATTATTAATCTGTTCATTAATTTCATTAATTTTGTATGTTTTATCAAGGAATAAAAATAGAATTTTTTAGTTAAGCATATCAAAATGAACATGCTAAATAATGTTAATAAATTAAATTACAGAGGTTTTATCGATATCATGAACTGCTTCACCAGAAAGAGACAAATAAAAGACAATTAGAGAACAGTTCCAGAGGAAGTAACAGCCCACCATATTGGATGATATTTAAAGCGTGTTTCCCACAATGTTTTAACACATTTTTAGTCTTCTTCGTAACTTTAGCACTTTTCCCATCTGTTCAATCTGATATACAACCTTCAGATAAGAATTTCCCAGTTCCACCTGAATATTATAGCAGTGTTATGTGCTTTTTAACATTTAATATCACTGCTATGCTCGGAAGCTCAATTGCATCATTAGTTCAATGGGTATGTAGAATCTAGAATTATTATCTAAATTACATTTAATTTACATTTTAAATTATATTTTTTCAAATATTTTTATGACAAATATATATATTTTGTTACGGATTTTATTATTTTGTATAATTATCGTACGTAAATATATAAAATCTTTTATATATACTATACATTTTAATTAATTATTTTTTTATAGCCCAGCCATAAATATCTGCTGATTCCAGTATGGCTGCGATTTGTTTACATACCGTTGTTTTTATTCTGCAATTATCGACCGGCTCTCACAGAAAGATTACTACCTGTATATATTGATAATGATTGGATTTTCTGGGCCATTGCCGTTACTATGGGACTCAGTAGCGGCTATTTGTCATCATTATCGATGATGTACTGTCCTAAGTAAGTACAATTATATATATAATAAAAAAAATTAAGAGAAAACTACGAGAATTTCTGTAAATACTTATATTATTGAAAAGAATAATACACAATGACAAAAAACAAAAGAATATAACAGTGATATTTAATATGTACTTTTGTATTTAGAATGGTGGATTCGCAATACGCGTCAACGGCTGGTATGTTTGGGGCAGCATCTTTAATCACGGGGATATTTACAGGAATCATGTTTTCCATGGCAATGCCGAGTTTGGTGGCCAACGTGACATTTTGATTGTTTTAAAGATGAAATTTAGCATCGCGATATGCTCGTATTTACTCAGGAGTTAGAAAAAGGATTGACAATTGAGATGTTGGAATGTTTCTCTTATTCAAATTAAGATGAACAATTTCTATTCCTTAAGAAAAAAAGTTTTAGGAACAGAAATACTGAGGCTACTGCTATTCAACACGAAATAAGAGAAACATTTTGAAATGTTTACTTATATACATATATATATATATATATATATATACACACGTTGAATACATATACATATATAATCGTACAATTCTTTAAGCAATAGATTATGAATGAAAACAAGCTTTTAATTAAGTAAGAATTTTTAAAAGTAACATTGCGTGTTTTATATAAGCGTGTGATTTGGATTGATTGATTTTTAATGTCCCTTTGATAGAAAAAATAGTTATGGAAATTAAATAAGACCATCTGAAGTGCATTAACGATCAAAATCGTTTCACAACAGATCTGTGTAGAAAACACCGGGTCTATCAGGTTTTATCAGGATTTAGAAAAGCTAATATATTACTACTGCCCTTATTAATAAAGACCGGACCAATAAGCCTTATTAATAAAAAAAAAAGAGCTGTACGGTACTCCCATTTTTCGCATTGTACGAATAGTAAACTGCTAAATTATTACATACTTATTAAAGAGATTATACATTTAAATCTGTATAATTCGTCGCGCGTTTAGCACTAAACGTAACTTTCATTTTATTAAGATTACATTTAACATATAGTATTATCAAACACTCCCACATCTCTGGCGCTAAACGCGTAACGAAAATATTTATCTTAATAGATAAACATTACATTTTTAGATAGAGTTTATGCTAAAGTTGCCATGCTGAATTTTCCTGCAGAAAAATTTTATTTCTTGTAAATTAAACTTGCTATTGGTATGTAACATAGAGAATAATTTTAAAGATATGACAGATTTAGAAAAACAGTTCTAGTAGTACTCCTGTGACTAAAAAATTATAATTTTATTTATAATTACATTGAAAAATTTAATTTTGAATTTTATTTTAATTACTTGGTTGACTTTAATTTAAAAGTCAAACTTGAAAGTAATGATAAAAGAGACCATAGTAATATTTTTATATAATTGATAAAGTCTTGTAGCAGGATCTAATGTAATAGTCTCGTAACAAACTTCCATATTTTTAATATTACAAATTTATTCCGTAATTACACGAGGTTGTGTTTATCATTTGTTTATCACTTGTTAATACTATTTAGTACTTTATTTAATATTTTTATAAAATAACAAATATTGACACATAATGTATTTACATAAAAATTGCAACGTTTCAAATGTTATTAAAATTATAATTAATATTTTAAAGCAAAAATTTTTGTTCTACTTCATGATGCCTTCATAAATTTTCTGTTTTAAAATACTTGATATAAAAATTGTATTACAAAAGATATGCAGGAGAGTCAAGACTGTTGGCCATCCAATTAATACTAGTCCTTTCAGAATTTTGATGACGAGCTTTCCACCTTATCTATATGAGATTAATGCAAATATAATTAAAAAAATTAAAAATATCTACACATTTGCTTGGGCTATGATTATGTCTTACAATAATCTCCTTTTGCCATATGTATGTATGTACATGTGTTCTAATTATAATATTTATGTTCTAAGTATATAAAATCTTATAATCACGTTCTAATTACATATTAAAATCATATAGTCATGTAAAAAGTAATAATGTTTTACACATTTTGAATGAATGTGATTAAATTGTACAATGCACAATATTCTTTTACAAAACAATATTTGAATAATTGTACAATTTTTTTAAAATTAGAACACATTATTTCAGATAAAATCTAATTTTAAACTTGAACTTTTGTAGCTTAAACTTATAGAAAAGCTTATTGATGTTTTTCTAAGCTTATATTAAAAAATTATATTTTTAGTATTATAGTTACATTAACTATTAGTAAGATATAACGGAGCTGCTTGAATAGTTTAACTTTTTTTAAATTGTCATTAAATATAATGTACATATATTTATATATAAAGATTCAAATGTAACATAAGTACCTCAGAATCGATGCGCACAAGCGATAGATTTGAATTGAATACTCTCTTGTTATTTATAAATAGCTCCATTGTATCTTAGCAAATAGAATCTTTCATTTATCTTTGTCGACTAATTTAAGGGTTTTTACTAATTTTATAATGTAGAATTTGCATTATATTGAAAGTTAGTACAGAGTATGTCGTGAGAGATGGCACAAACGTCTTTTTATATTTTGTATTTTTCTATAAGATTTTTATCTCGAGTATAAAAACAGAGTGTTTTGAAAATGTTTGACTAAATTTTATCGAACTGTATTCAATAATTCCGTTCAATTAATCGTATTATAATTTTTAAAAAATTTTTTATTGCTTAGTTTTACTCGCCGATTTTATTTTACTAATTGTACAGTAATCATATCATAGTAATTGTATCGGTAGTATAATTTATTCAAATATTTTTATAATACTCTGTACATTGTGGGATATATTCAGCAAGAGGGCGTGTTTATATATGCATTTTTAATTCTAAAATGTAAAATGTGTAACCTCTATAACTATTATATAATAACTTTCCTTCTCAATTTATACTACTAATCGATAAACGTAAAAAGTTGTACTACAAATGCATTTTAAAAACCTCCTTATTTGCGAAACAGTGATTCTACAAGAAACTTTTACAAATTAGATTAAATCTAAATTTAATACTAAATTTAATTTAAGTTTTATTAAATATAAATTTAATAGATTATTATGAAATAATAAGCAAGTTATTTTACATACATCGAATCACTGTGTTGCAAATAAAAATCTGCTCTTTTGTTATTAAGTAATTATTTAAGGATTTCTTACACTTTGATTGTTATCAGGTTGATAAAAATGATTCTAAAAAAATTTTGAATTTGTACAAGGACAATCCTCCGTATAAAGCAACAGACAATAAATAATCAAGGGAATTCGATAAAAGTAATCCAATAAAATCGGAAGATTCATTGAATTTAAAGGGAAAAAAAGAAAAATTGATAGAAAAGTAGATAGAATATTTTTATATGGATTCTCAGTCATACATAAATAAATTTTATTCAGCGAATTGTTTCGTGCGCATTATACCGTTTAGATTATAAGCAATCTCCATTTAAAAAAATTATACATTAATATTATACGTATTATACATATATAAGATTTAAATACGTATTTATTTCCACATAAAAATGACATATCTTTAAACAAATTCGTTTTACGGAGATTTATCATTTTTGTGTGTCGAAATATAATAACATATTGATTATATATATACAAATCTACAAGATGTCTAAAAAATCGCAGATTTCACCATTATAGATAATTGATCGAATAAAACAGTTTAACAATGTTTTCAATTATTATTTATGTTTGATTATTTTAAAATATTTTTATATACGAAAAATCAATAAAGGTTTTGAATGTATTTGATTTCTGTTATCTGCGATTTTTGAAAAATTTAAATTCTGTAAATCATCCTCATCCTATATATGTAAAAATTGAAAATCTTGTAAGATAAGAAATGGTTGCGTTTTATGAATAAGTAGATTTATGGAAACAGTTTGAACTATTCAATTTATTGTAGAAAGAACGTTAAATAAATGAATAAGGACTAATTATTCCCATTGAAAAATACTTAGCTAAATAATATATATAATAATAAATTGTAGCAATAATACATAAAATAATAAAAATTTATTAAACTTAACATCAATATAAAGCACAAAAAATTTTTATTATAATTAACTAAAAATTCTCTGTAAGATATTTAATCTTCTAATTATTACATTTAAAAAAAGTCCATAAATGGTTTATTATATAATTATGAGTAAATATACTTTTCATTATAATTATACATATATACTTTTAATAAAAATATGTAACTTTTAAATATTAAGAATTAATATTTCTTCATAATTACTTGTGTACTTATACAAAGTATGATAAACATAAATAAATTGATCAAAGATTTTTCTTAAAAATAAATGTTATTTTATTCCATCAATGCTGTATACAATCACTATTAAATAACAGAAAGATTAGAGCTAGAAGACCATTAGAACGTTAAGCATATAGTACAACGTATATATATACTGTGTCAATATATGTTTACATAACATAAACTTTCTCGATCTTTTTATATGGAAATACTTCTTTAGTCTTTGGACAAATTACTGTGCCGTTGTTTTCCTGAGCCATCTTCTCTAATGCCTGTAACAATAATTGCAAATATGTGTATATTTTTTATTTAATATACAGTATTTAATATACCAATAATTAATACTTATTAATTTGAAATTATTTTAATATTTTTATATTCGCATAGATTAATATCTTTTTACAACAATAATTTCTAATTGTTTGATTAATGTTTCAAAGTTTTCACATACTTGTTCACCATATACATATCCATTAGGCATCATCATTGGTTGATTATATTCATTTAGAGGTTTCCCACTTATACTACAAACAAGTCGCGATTGTGAGCAATGAGCGAAAGGCAACGGTGCGGCCAATTCATTTAACGCTTCGTTGCAAACTGGACAACTAGGATTTCGGCCTTCCTTATTTGCGCTGTAACATTGAGGAGTTTTGAGAGCCGATAAACCGGCTTGCAGAGCCACTGTAAATACACTCTGGCTCGCCAATTGAAATAATCTGTAATTCTCTTGACGAAATGTTTCAATCAGCTTGTCCCATCTGCAAATAATTTTTATGAATTGTGTTATGATCATTAAAATTATTATTAGTATGCTATATTATTAAATTGTTGAATTTATACAATATGATTCATATAAATGAAACAAATTTTTATAATTATCTGTTATTATAAGTTTTTTTTTAAAGAAATATTTATAAATTAATTATAATTGTGATATATGTCTTAATTATTAATTGTGATATATATCAATTGCACAAACCTTTTTTCATCTAATAAATCTTTATAGGGGCTTAAATATGCATGGGCTGGAAATGCTAACTGGCCCATACAACATTGAATCTCTTGTAGCTGGTACTCATCGTAATTGGAAAAGTACTTCCGGGCGTGTTTCACCGCGTCCAGGCGTCTATCAGTTCGCACTAATTCGATAAATTCCTGTACACGCAAATTGAATTCCATTGTGCTGCCCAATTTTCTTAATTTTGAACGATTGTCATGACACCATCCAATACATCTCGCAGTTTCGTGATTGGCCAGAGATTTCTCTACTTCTCTTGATACCATAAATACATCTATAAGCATTAAAAGTATTAACAATATTGTAATAATTATATTGAGAGTTTATATACAAAATTATAAAAACTGATGATTATAAAAAAAGACTTCAAACTATTATTTTGTATCATACAACTTGAACGAGATACAATCATCTTTAAAAGATGTTGAAATAAAAAAATATATATTAATTATTTTTTTATATAAAAGTACCAATATTTGTTAAATCTCTGAGCTCGTTACTGTCTGCCAATTTAGTCGCCGTTTTGTAATATCCTTTGCGAAGAAAATATTCTACTAGCATTCTATCTAATCTCTGTCGTCTCCACTGATTCACAGCACTTGGAGAAGTATTAGCATGTTCCTTTAAGTGGTCCAATCTTCTTTTGCAGACCATGCCTGCTTGTAACTCTTCTGCTATAGATTCTTGAGCTTTACGCTTTAAAACTTGAAGCCTGGCAACCACACCACCAAGTAACTTGCTGATTTCTCCAGTGGCAACGTAAGATCCATCAGTTTTGAGACTTTTTTCAAGTTCATTAGATACCGCTTGAACATGTGACACTTCTCTGTCGAGAGTCTTCTGGGCAGAGCGAAACTTCTTGTTAAGAAGCTCGTATGGAACCTATATTTTAAAAATATATTATCAAATACGTACACAAATTTTGATATACATTCTGTTTATTAAAAAAAAAGTAATTAGCAATACAATTATAATAAATAATATTGTATGTTATTTTATATTACAGTTTGGAATGTAAATTAATATTTCTTGTATTATTATTAATTATATAAATATTAATATTTTTTTTATAGAATACCTATTTTTATAAGTTTATATTTTTAATAAAGTGTTATATATATATATATATTGAAAAAATTATTTACAAATCTACCAATAGGATGTACAATTATTACGAAATAAAGGTAAAATTAAAAAATTTGCAGATGACAATGACATTTCGTTATACTGTAATCTGTAATGAGTAAAAATTGTTGAGAAAATGAGAAAAATATAGATTATATTACCTTCAACGTAGGATGCTCAAGGCTCTTGACATCTGACATGTTGGGGGTTAATAGTCCAAGATGATTAGCGAAATAAGCGAGAGACAAACAGAAATACAATGAAGAAAGAAGACGATGGAGTTGGCAATCCGATTGTGCGTCAATTATTCCGCGATATAATATCGATGTTCATGTCGATGTAAAGAATCGGCAGAAGGACTCGAAATAACACAGGGACCGATTTCAAGGATTCACATCGATTCACTTTTAATTATAGCGCATTTTTCGATCACATATGTGTGCCTTTGTTTACGCGTAATTTCGGAATAGCTCAGTTAGAGAGAAGAACAGAGACTGACACTGACAAATCTGACAATATGAGAGAGGCCATGCCGGCGCGTTTCGAGGGACGTTTTCCGTGCAGTAGCGCCATCTACTTTTAAAATTCGAAACAACATTAATTGCTGATAAAGTCGTTTTTGTGCTACGAATAAAATTGTAGATCAGTAAAATATATGGCAACATATATATTAATTAATTATATATATATATAATAATAAACTACTATATTAATATATAATTATTATTGACTTCTCAACATTTTTGCTAAGGAAAAATCGTCTCCAAATTGACCAGAGAATCCGCCCGTAATCATTGGTTCGTTAGTTACCGGACACTCTGTATAGCAACTGACGTCATAAACGTCAAAATCACGCGTTTGCTAGCTGGGATATATTAATTAATTTGTACATATAGATATATATTAATTAATTATTCATCAAACGACGATTTTTTAAATTTTAGCATTGGATGTAGATTTATTTTTTAAAAGTAGATGGCGCTACTGTATTGTAAATATACTGCAAAACAGCTTCTCTCCGAAGCCATGGTGTATATACATTTTGTGTATTGTGTGAATACTGTCGAATTCTTCAATTCGATTAACTTAACTGAGACTTAAAAGATATCTCATTTATATCTTTGACAGAAAATCAATTAAAGCTGTATCCAAAAGTCAGAATACTCCAATTAGAGACGTACTAAACCTTATCTTTAAAAAAGTCTAATTTAACCTCTTCTCCGGAAACAACATGCTCTCTCTGTGACACTTCATAGTCGATTAACAAATTCTTCATGTATTCTATATGCAAAAATACTCATCCTGCGACGGGAGTCGAGCACGCGATCACCTGTCACTTTTTCAACCGTAACGAAAAATGTCTCGTGGTCGCCGGCGCGAATGTCATCCGGGTGTTTCGCCTGATCCCGGACGTCGACATAACGCGAAGGGAGAAGTATACAGGTAAATTAATTTTATAATTTTTATTACCATTTTGATTCTTCTTTATTCGAATACACAAAATAGGAGGGAATTTCTTTTTGTTGTGCAGAAACCCGCCCACCTAAAATGAAGCTGGAGTGCTTGGCACAGTATACTTTGCATGGGAATATTATGTCCATGCAGGCTGTTCATCTCATTGGATCGCAGAGGGATTCTCTGTTGCTTAGCTTTCGCGATGCAAAATTGTCTGTTGTCGAGTACGATCAGGATATTCATGATCTGAGGACAGTATCATTGCATTATTTTGAAGAAGAAGAAATAAAGGTAAAAATATTTGGAGTCTCACAAAAAAGACGATTTAATCAAATTTATATTTATAAGAAATTATTTAAACTTTAATTTTTTTAATCAATAATAATATCCTTAAAATTTTATCTTTTTTAAAATAACACAGATAGTATTTCTTGAAATTTTAGACTATGTCTTATTTAATTAGGATGGCTGGACGAATCATCATCATATACCAATAGTGAGGGTAGATCCTGAAGGAAGATGTGCAGTAATGTTAATATATGGCAGAAAACTGGTTGTACTACCATTCCGTAAGGATCCCAGTCTTGATGATGGTGACTTACTCGACAGTGCAAAATTAACATCTTCCAATAAAACTCCCATATTATCCTCATATATGATAGTATTAAAAACACTAGAAGAAAAAATGGACAATGTAATAGACCTGCAATTTCTGTATGGATATTACGAACCTACATTGTTAATTTTGTATGAACCAGTAAGAACATTTTCAGGGTAAGGATACATTTTAAATTTATCAAATAAATGCATAAAAAGAAGAAATGCATCAATCAATCAATCAATTATGTAATGAAAATAATTTTTGTACACAGACGTATTGCTGTAAGACAGGACACTTGCGCAATGGTTGCTATATCCTTAAACATTCAGCAAAGGGTACATCCTATCATTTGGTCTGTCTCTAATTTACCATTTGATTGTTATCAAGTTGTACCTGTGAAAAAACCTCTTGGTGGCACATTAATAATGGCGGTTAATTCGCTTATTTATTTAAATCAAAGTATACCACCATATGGAGTATCGCTTAACAGTTTAGCAGATACAAGTACCAATTTTCCATTAAGTAAGAAATATTTTTAATAGTATTGTAATTATATTTCTTGTAGTAATTTATGGAACATAATAATTATGCACTTTTATTATTCTCTTTTTATTTTTATAGAGCCACAAGAGGGAGTAAAAATGAGCTTAGAAGGTGCACAAGTCGCATTTATATCTGGGGATCGTTTAGTTATCTCTTTAAAGAGTGGAGAACTTTATGTTTTGTCTCTCTTTGCCGACAGTATGCGATCTGTACGTGGATTTCACTTTGATAAAGCAGCAGCTAGTGTGTTAACATCATGTGTAAGCATTTACATTGAACTTTAAATCTACACAGATATTTATCATTCTAACGATATATGTATTTTTAGGTATGTATGTGTGAAGACAATTATCTGTTTCTTGGCTCTCGACTCGGTAATTCGTTATTATTACGATTTACCGAAAAGGAACCGGAAACTCTGAAGAATCTGAATGATGGTGAGATCACTATTGACGAAAACGAAAGCGAGGAAACCCCGGCCAAGAAGGCGAAGCAAGACTTTCTCGGTGACTGGATGGCATCGGACGTGTTAGACATTAAAGATCCAGAAGAATTGGAAGTGTATGGAAGCGAAACTCACACGTCTATCCAAATAACATCATATATTTTTGAGGTATTAACGAACTTGTGATCTTATTTCATATATATATATATATATATAGTGCATTGTGTTTTTTTGTTAATTTCAATTATTTATTTTATTATGTTCTATTCTCATGATTTTTTAACTTTTATGTGTAGGTGTGCGACAGTTTATTAAACATTGGACCATGTGGAAATATTTCCATGGGAGAACCAGCTTTCTTGTCGGAAGAATTTCTACATAATCAGGATCCCGATGTCGAACTCGTAACGACATCCGGATATGGCAAAAATGGTGCGCTTTGTGTATTGCAACGTTCCATACGTCCTCAGGTAATTGACAACTTTTGTAATCTTATTTATATTATGTATAATTAATTTTAATTTAATTAATTTTAATACATTGATCTTACTGTGATATAATTAGTACCACAAAATCTCATTAATAAAAATAAATAATAAAATAGGTTGTGACAACATTTGAATTGCCTGGCTGTGAAGATATGTGGACTGTTATTGGCACATTAAATAATGATGAGCAAGTTAAGGCAGAAGCAGAGGGATCTCATGTTTTCTTAATATTGAGTCAAGAAGATTCAACCATGGTATAATAATATATTTTTGATACTTAAATATAATATATTGAAATATTGATATATTGTCACTTTATATATCTTGAATAATAATTAATACTTGATGATATTATTTATTAACAGATTCTGCAAACCGGTCAGGAAATTAACGAAGTAGACCAGAGTGGGTTCAGCACTCAAGGAAGTACAGTATTCGCCGGTAATCTCGGTGCTAATAGATATATTGTGCAAGTTACTCAAATGGGTGTGCGTCTTTTACAAGGCATTGAACAAGTATGCACATTAAATCTTAAATATTTGCATGAATTCAAGCATTTTTTTTTGTTTGTAATTTTTATTTTATTTTAAAGCATATTAAGAAAAATAGCAGTAAAGTTTTTTATTTTTAAATTAGATCTAGAAATGGGATATTCTTAATACTTTTGGAGTATAGATGCAGTTTTTATATTGTCTTTTTGATTTATATATTTATTCATTAGTTTAATCCTCAAAGATAAACGATAATATATTTGTATTTATACCATTGTATTTGGATTGTTTCACTTATATTTGAAAAGCATATAAAACACAATTAGAATTATTAGTAAAGATGCTTTATAAATAAAAATTAAATTTATCATTATAATCTATTTTTATTTATTACAGATCCAGCATATGCCTATAGATCTTGGCTGTCCAATTGTGCACGCAAGTTGTGCCGATCCGTATGTAACATTACTCTCGGAAGATGGACAAGTAGTATTGTTGACACTTAGAGAAGTGAGGGGTACAGCGAGATTGCATGCTCAACCTGCCAATTTATTATTTGTAAGTTTATATGCACTTTGAAGCGTTAAGTGTTAAATCTTATAAAATAAATAAATAATTCAATTAAATGTTCTTAAAATTTATAATAATTTTCTATGTGTTTACAGCGTCCCCAGATAGAGGCATTATGCACTTATAGAGATGTAAGCGGGATATTTACGACGCAATTGTCCGAGAGTGTGGACGACGAGCAAACCGAAGAGGAGCACAATGTAGAGGAACCGTCTCTCCTCACCAATATTGATAACGAAGACGACCTATTATATGGCGATGCTCCAGCATTCCAAATGCCTGCACCATCATATCAAAAACCATCGGATGGAATTACTAAGAAAGCGCCTTGGTAAAATCTTTAAGTTTTTTTATATATTTTGTATATATTTTTCAGTTTTTAATATATTCTTCAGTTTTTATGTATTTAAAAATATTTGGCGAAATATTTTACATTCTATGTATCCTAATATTATTAAATATGCTATATCGATATACATTTTCATAATATGGATCTTTGTATAATAGGTGGCAGAGACATTTGCAAGAAATTAAGCCCACATACTGGCTACTTGTGTATAGAGATAGTGGGACTTTGGAAATTTACTCCCTACCGGATTTACGACTCTCTTATCTCATTCGTAATTTTGGCTATGGTCAGTATGTGTTGCACGACAGCATGGAATCTACGACATTGCAATCAACACCTGTCAATGAAATCCCTAATCCTGAAATGCAGGTATATATATTTGCAAACATATTTGACATTTCTTCCGTAATTAATCATTCTTCTATTATTAATAAATATATATTTCTTCACAGGTTCGTGAGATTCTAATGGTCGCTTTGGGACATCATGGAAATCGACCGATGCTTTTGGTACGTCTCGATTCGGAATTGCAAATTTATCAAGCTTATAGATATCCAAAGGGACATCTAAAACTGAGGTTTAAAAAATTGGAACATGGAATAATCCCGGGACGCTTCAGGTTTGTATATACATATATGTATAATTATTTCTATATATATAGTTGATCTTTCACTTAAATATTTATAAATATTATTTTATATCTATAAATTTATATTCATAAATATCATTTTATGTTTCACTGTTAAATAAATAATTTTACGCTAAATTTTTTAACTAAAAATTTTTTCTTTTTGTAGCCCAAAACCCAAGGAAGAGGACATGCCCATGAATAGTGACACTCGTATTTGCATGATGCGTTATTTTAGCAACATTGCCGGATACAATGGTGTATTTATCTGCAGCGATTATCCGCATTGGATATTCTTGACTGGACGCGGTGAATTACGCACGCATCCAATGGGCATCGATGGCCCCATCACGTCTTTCGCTGCTTTTAATAATGTTAATTGCCCACAAGGTTTTCTATATTTTAATAGAAAGGTATTATGTTGTTTCCTGTATTATGTAGAATAGTAGAAATTATAAAAGATGACATATATTGATTTATTTTAAATTGTTAATATAGCAAGATATATTTTAAATAAAAAGAGAAAAGATTACTTTATAATTTTTACTTTAAATGTTTTTTTTTCTAAAATCAATATTTTCTGAAGTTAATTAATTACTCTAAAGTCATTTTTTTTAGATATAAATATTTTGCATTCTGTACTATATTTTTATGTACAAAATTTTATAATTTTATTTTAGGAAGAGCTACGGATATGCGTTTTGCCGACACACTTATCATACGACGCTCCTTGGCCAGTTAGAAAAGTGCCTTTACGATGTACTCCACATTTTGTTACCTATCATTTGGAAAGTAAAACCTATTGTGTCATAACAAGCATAGCTGAACCGCTGAAAAGTTACTACAGATTTAATGGCGAAGATAAGGTATTGGTAAAAATATTTTTCAATTTTCCAAGATATTTTTATTTATCAAATAGCTTGAAAGCATAATGTTAAAAATTAATAATGACAAATGTTTTTGTTAATAAGGAATTTACCGAGGAAGAACGTCCAGAAAGATTTCTTTACCCGTCTCAAGAACAATTTTCCATTGTATTATTTTCTCCAGTTTCATGGGAGACGATTCCTAATACAAAAATCGAACTGGAACAATGGGAACATGTCACTTGCTTAAAAATGTATCTCTGGCTTATGAAGGAACGAGATCTGGTTTGAAAGGTTACATAGTATTGGGAACAAACTATAATTATGGCGAAGATATTACAAGTAGAGGACGTGTAAGTTCTACGAATTAAGAAAATCAAAATCTTCTCAATTTAATTATTTTATTATATTCTTTTTTTCTCTCTCTCTTTTCAGATACTTATATTTGACATAATTGAAGTAGTACCTGAGCCTGGTCAACCATTAACTAAAAATAGATTTAAACAGATTTACGCGAAAGAACAAAAAGGACCTATAACTGCTATAACTCAAGTATCAGGATTTTTAGTCTCGGCAGTTGGTCAAAAAGTATTATTTTTTTCAATTTATTTTTACCAAAGCTATATGTCTATTGTGAACAATATTAAAAATCTATGTTATTTTATTGCAGATCTACATTTGGCAGTTGAAAGACAACGATCTCGTTGGAGTTGCTTTTATTGATACTCAAATTTATATCCATCAGATGCTGAGTATCAAAAGTCTTATTCTGATAGCTGACGTTTATAAATCAATTAGTTTGCTAAGATTTCAGGAGGAATACAGGACACTCTCTCTTGTTAGTAGAGTAAGTAGTAATGCATTAATTTCAAAGAAATATTAACAATAATTACATTAAATTATATAATTTGTGTATTTTTATTATAGGATTTTAGACCTGCAGAAGTGTATACTATAGAATATTTAATTGATAACACAAATTTAGGATTTTTTGTGGCTGATGGAGAGAGCAATCTAGCTTTATTTATGTATCAGCCAGAGTCGAGGGAAAGTTTAGGAGGCCAAAAGCTGATTAGAAAGGCGGATTTTCATTTAGGACAGAAGGTGAATACTTTCTTCCGTATTAGATCTAGACTCACCGATCCTGCAAATGATAAAAAGCACTTTTCCGGTGCTGAGAAAAGACATGTCACCATGTATGGTAAGTCACCATGTATGGTATAACAAATAATATGTAATTTAGTAACACTTTAAATAATCTGTTAAAAAGTATATTTTTACATGTATTTTTATATTTTACAGCAACGTTAGACGGCAGTCTTGGTTACATACTGCCAGTACCAGAAAAACATATCGAAGACTGCTTATGTTACAAAACGTGCTGGTGACACATATCTGTCACATTGCAGGCTGCAGGCTTGAATCAAAATCATATCGGTAAGTATTAATATATAATTATAAATATATATATATATATATATATATATATATATATATATATATATAGCTCGCTGACATGTATAATTATTTTTTCGTTTAGCACGTATAAAAGTTATATACGAAATCAAGGTAATCCAGCAAGAGGTATTATTGACGGCGATTTGGTCTGGCGTTATCTTCTCTTGCCAAACAACGAAAAAGCAGATGTAGCTAAAAAATTGGAACACGCGTTCAGGAGATAATCGAAGATATTACTGAAATTGATCGACAAACGGCGCATTTCTAATTATATAGCTTATATTGTATTAGACTTAATAAGCTTTTATTATAATTTTATATCTTCTGAAAAAACAATAATGCATAATAAACTTTGCTTGTATGTATGTATGTACATCATCGAATGCATACAATAGTTTGTATGCCTTGAAATTATTACATACTTGCAATTGTTTAATTTATATATTGCATAATGCAATTGAACCTAAATTTTTGATACTACTAGAATACAAAAAAATATAAGTATAATTTTTATATTTATATTTTAGGAAAAAAAATGATACTACTTTGTAAATTTTTGCCGAATCACGACGGACTGACAAATTAGTAGTTTATTTATCACTTGTGCACATTCAAATAGAAATATTCACAGCATTATTGTGGTGATATATCTTCTCAAATGCATCCATCTTCCAGGAAAAGTATCATTGAAAGACGCCTTACTTTACGAAAAGAAAGTCAATTATGTATGTAGCAGACAAAAAATTTGTAATTAATGTGTACAGAATATATGTTCTTTGTAGAAAACAAGTTTTTTTTTAAATATTGTCTATAAAAATGTGAATTAAAATGCCATATCTCATATAAAATACAATCAATACAAGTCCTATGAGATTATACTAATTATTTTATATTGCTTATATTGATCAAACAATTCATGAAAACTAGTCACGTTTCTTGAACACCGAGAAACATTTAATTGATTGATTATTTCTTTTTATTTTTATTTTTTTATATCAAAGTAAGTATTTTACAGATTTTATACCAATTTAACAAAAAGATTAACAAAAATATTTAATTTGTTTAAAATTATACACTTACCTAGATAGCCACAGTAATTATTATGACATCAAAATGCATTATTTTGATGGCAAATGATGCATTTTGACATCAAAATGATGTCATAATAATTACTGTGGCTATCTGGGTAGTGGCTGTCGAACCAACATTATTAGAAAGAAGACTCTATGAGGCATTTGATGTATTTGATAATGCAAGAAGTGGGGAAGTGGATGTCAGAGATTTAGGAACAATAATCAGAGCATTAGGTAATAAAAAAAATGATAAAAAAATTCTGATAAGTTTATATATTTCTTGTAGTCTATTTCATTCTATTTATGTTGCACAATAGGATGTGTCATAACAGAGGCTGAGTTGCAAGAGATACAAGTGGAAGTAGAAGATGTCGAAAATAATTGCGTTCCACTAAATAGATTTGTAGAATATATGAGCAAAGCGATTAACGAGCGCAAGTATGTTGATCTTTCTTCATTTTTTGAAAATTGAAACAAGTGATTGATAGATTTAAAATGCAATTTCTATTATAATATAGTAGATATATATGTATCTTATTTTTACAATTTGTTTAGATTCAAACCAGCAGAACCAGAAGAGCTATTGAAAGCGTTTCAATTATTAGATCCTGAAAATCGCGGATATATCATGAGAAATGATTTAGAGAAATCTATTATGGAAATTGGAGAGCCATTTACGAAGGAGGAAGTGGCTGATATGATGGCCGTAGCTTGTGATGCAGAAACAGGAAAAATTAATTACGAGCATTATATCAATTTATTAATTGTACGTATATAGTCATTTTCAATAGTGCTATAAGATTTCTTTACACCATGCATAAAAAGTTTTATCTAAAAAAAAAAAAAAATATAGACTTCCATTTGAGATAAAAATTACAGGTGAAAATTCCCGAAGATCTGAATGTATATAATATTGTTGATAAAATAGAAGCTGCGAAAGCAGCAGCATTACCTAAAAAACGCATGTGGGAAAACTTTTTCTTTAAGGAAAATACCACCTGACAAAAAAATGATATATAATTTTAGTAAAGAATTGTCGTTTTTATGAAAGAATCTCAATATATGAAAAATCCGTGATTAGGAAAATTGTATTAACAAATTTGATATATTTCATGTTATATAAGTATATTTCCAGTACCTATTTTTATATATAAATAACATACAAATATTATATATAATAAACGTATTAAAATACTTTAAATTCTAATTAGAAAAGATGTAAAAATATATTTTATATATTTCATGTTATTTAAATTTTTTAAATTTTCACGAAAAATATTCTAAAATTTGATATTAAAATATAAAAATTTGTGGTTATTTTTTTCTTATGAATAATGGTAATTAAATGTGTAAATAGATAATTTATCAATTAACAATATTAGATATTACAACTTTGAAAATATCGGAGGATCACCTTTAACAGCCTGTGCCATAGCTGCATTTAAGAAATCTTCACTCTGAAGCATTGCTTTGTTATGCACCATCTATCAAGATAAAAAAAAATCCCAATATATATATTGAAACAATTTAAAATATAAGAAATTATTTCACAAAGAATAAATAATAATAAGGGTTATTATCATTTTAGGTGGAATAAATAATGGAAGGCACTTACTATATGATCTAATCCTTCTTGAACAGAGTGGTCTCTGGAATATACCATACTTATTTTTGAACCTTGCACAGCAACTGGACTCTTAGTTGCAATGGTTTCAGCAATTTCTATTGTTTTATTCAATAAGCTGAAATAAAAATGTGAATAATTTCAAATTAATTCACCTTGTTCGAGCAATTTACTACAAGATTATATGTTCTTCTTTCAATTGCATTTGTTGTTTTACCTTTCTTCATTGTCCAATATGCGATTTATAAATCCGCTTTCCAGTGCTTCAGCCGCCGGATACTTTCGTGCTGTGTAGACAAGTTCTCTCACTAAACTATCAGAACCCACAATCTTTGGAAATCTTTGAAGTGTACCTACATCAGCTGCCATGCCAATGTCTACTTCCTTTATTTGGAAGTATGCATCAGAGGAAGCATAGCGTATATCAGTTGTGGATACCATGTCCATACCTGCGCCGATGCATGCACCATGTACAGCAGCTATTACGGGTTTTGGACACTGTCAATTAATTTTGCATCATTATTTTATTTGTGCAAAGAAGTGTCATATTGAAAATAATATGATGCATAATGGAGTGAGTTAATGGGCGAGGTGTGGAGAATATATCAACTCCATGTAAATAATGGAATACCTTCTCTATAGCGGTAAGTGAGTCTTGATAATATTTAATTTTGGATTCCAAAACTTTACATTTACGTGCAATATCTTCGTGCTGTGTCAAGTCCTGACCCGTTTCCATCAATCCTTGCAAATCAATTCCTAAAATAGTTGTCAAATAAGAATAATTCCATTTATTTATTTATGCCATAAACAACTATTAATTTATTTATAAATTATTTCATACCTGCACAGAATGTCTTTCCAGCAGCTGACAAAATAATTACTCGGCATTCGGGATTGAATGCTAATTCCTCGAAACATTCCTTAAATTCTCTACATGAAAATTATTGAAGTCATTTAAATATAGGTGTTTAATTGCAAAAGATATATAATAAGTGATTCCTCTTCTCATACCTCCACATAGTTGGACTCATTGCATTTCGTTTCTCTGGTCTATTCAATTTGACCATGTAAACAAAAGGTTTTGGAGTAGATATTGCTAATGTTTTATATTTAGGTGACATTTCTGTAGAGTATCTCAATCTGGAAGCAACTTGTAAATCTGTAAATTGTTAATAGATAATTTAATTCTCGCAGAATTATTACATTTATTATATAATAATTTTTTATATAACTGATGACTAATATGAAATGATATAAACAAAAAATGTTTTAATTAAAATTAAAGCAGGATATATTTTAAACATAATAAAAATTAACGCTTAAATAATAATTTTCTTTTTTTCATACTAAATACAAAATAAAAAAGCATATATTAAAAATTTTTAAAAGAATTACAAATGTCCTTACTATTTCCCACTGATCTTGACAAACTATTTCTAATAATATTTATCATCATGTTGGATGAAGATATTCTACAAAATAAAAATAATGAATTAATGAAAAAATTTGAATATATACATACGCGTTTGGTGTATTTTCTATATTTATAACAAATTTAACTGTTGTCACGTAGACAGGTCAAAGTACATCGTATAACTTTACGAATGATACTATAATATTACACCACTATAATATCTAATATCACACTGTACACAGAACATTACATTAATAATATTAAAAATTTCAACAAAATATTACAGATTTATATACCATACATATATATATATATAATCGATTTATATTTTTTCTATTTTTTTATATTAGATTTTCCTCTACTAATCTCTTCGAACTCTGTTTTGTGAATCAGCTATTTTGTTCTACTATTCAGATTAAATCAGCTGTTTTTCTGACTAAAGTAGATTTCTTTTTATCGCCGGTCGATTATATCAATCGAAGAAAAATTAGAGACGTAGTTTGCGTTTTGTATACGTGGTGGCGTTCAAGTAAGTGTTTTCGATAAACATTGTGGTGGCGGAAAAAGTTCGCTCTCGGATATTTTGCTGTAATATTTACAACAGTGTAATTCTAGCAATCCGTAGATTTCATTTTTCATTTCATTTGAGGATACTTGATCCGAAGAAGTAGAAGACATGAGTGCGACGCCCGAAAGTTTAATTTAATTTGCATAAAAAGTGGTTGGAAAAGTCTTCCGTGCATTCTCGCCAAAATTGCAAATGGCGGAGGAAAAGGCGGGAAGCCGAGTCAGCATGATGATAAATGTAAAGGTATGTGTAAAGTTTTTTTACGAATTTTTTAATATAATATTGTGCGTAATTGAGAAAATATATCTGCGAAATATTAATGACATAATTGTAAATGTAAATTAATACACCGCATTATATATAAATATATATATGTATATATATATCATATATAATGATATACAACATATATAATGATCACAAGACGGTTTCAAAGTAATGTCAGCGCTCTTTAATTATCTAAAGCCCAAAACGACAGAATGCCTTGATAATCACGAAATTTGACACAGGGTTCGTGGGATTATGAGTCTTTAATAGCTACCCTCTTGTCAATGATTGAGTACATTTCTCTCGAATTTCTGTCCTATAGAATTATGAAATTTGTGAGAAAATTAGAAAATTTTTTAGGTTAATAAAGATTATCTATATATTTAATTAATATAAATATATTAATCTAAAATTTTTAAAAAAAGTTTTGTGATTATTAATTAAAATTTTATATTATATAATAATTGCGATTTTTTGGAAAATTAAATACATACAATAATAGATTGCTATATAAATGTGTTTAAAAATAAGTATTTTAATGCATTAATTTCAATGCAGTATGATTACAGAAAGATTTGTTAAAAAATTCAAAGTAAAGAGAGATTTAACAAAAAATACAAAATTATCTTTCGAAAAAATATATAATCATAAGATGCAACGTATTCCTTTTTTTAAATTTAAATTTCGGATTCGCGAAGTTCACTTTTTTATTTCATTTTCTTATTTTAAATCGAACATACACATGCGATCTAATTTTAATAGGTTTTTACACATTAAGATATCATAAAAAATGATTCATTTATTGTTGTTAAAAAAAGGTTTACGTTTACTTTTATATATGCACTTTTTAGAAAATGTTTAATTATATAGGTCATATAAAGATTATCTATATTTAATTAATATAAATATTAATCTAAGATTAAAAAAAAGTTTTATTGTGATTAATCAGAATTTTATATTATATAATTATTTGCGGTTTTTTAGAAAATTAAATACATATGCAATAATATAGATCACTATAAATATGTTATTAATCAAAATAAATATTTTAATGCATTATTTTAAATGCAGTATAATTAGAAAAATATTTGTTAAATAATTCAAAGTAAAGAGAAATTTAATAAAATATACAAAATTATCTTTCGAAAAAATCTATAATGATAAGATGTAACGTATTTTTTTTTTTTTATTTAAACTTTGGATTTGTGAAGTTAACTTTATTCTTTCGTTTTCTTATTTTAAATCGGACATACATACATCACACATGTGATCTAATTTTTAATAGGTTTTTACATGATTAAATTAATTTGTTGCTGAAAAGGTTACGTTTACTTTTACATATGCACTCTTCTAACGAAGATTGAAGTGTCACCGTTCTTCGAGCGAAGCGCGATGAAAAGTGGGAAGGGGAAAAACACGGGTGGAATGAAAAAAGGACGAACAACAGCGGAATGTCCAGTTTTTGCGCGGCAGTTACTTACCTTAAACGAGCTAAGATTCTCATATAAAATAGCAGAGAGGCTTTTTTGCACATATACGATCCTTATTTGCGCACCGCAATCAAAGCGCGACGAAACGGCGGTCCTTACTTTCAGACCATAATTTCAATGCGGCGGAATTAAATTCTCCAAAATAATTTCAGTGGCTATTTTCCGTTAACTCGTTTCAGTCATCTCATTTTTATATATTGATTGTGGAATTTTAATCCACGCATGCACTCTATCTTTTAATTTCTTAGATCACTCCTCTGGAACCATCTTATCTGATCTTCATCGGATTATTTTATAAAATTTCTGAAAGTAATAAAATTTTCATCTCTTTTCGCCGAAGAAAATTTATGAAAATACAGATTCTATATACGGATTATTACCAAAATAATATATCCATTTTTATTTATAGTATCGCGATCTTATGACGAAATAATATTTCAGTAATTTTTCGCGTGCTATATATAAAAAAAAGCTTGCGTCGTACTGTAAATTATTACTCTATTATTAATAAGTCTATTATCAACAATTCGAGTGTTAATTATTCCGTTTTATTATCGACATTAGAACGATGAATAGTAATAACCATTAAATAGAATGGTTAGTTGATTTTTGACTCAGTAAACGATGAATGTCGTGTCTACTTTAGGGAAATACCGACCTCTTCAGTGTACGGTGCCCTTTTTCTATTTCACATTTACAAAGAACAAACGCCAGTTGGTTTGGAAACCGACGCACGGAATCTTAATGATGTCTTGTCACATATTCGACACGACAGCGACGGTTAGAGAGAGATTTCCGAGTGTCCTAAATAGAACAGAATTTACCATATAGATAAATTTTTGATTGTAAAAACGCTTCCTTTTTTTGTTATATTACTGAAAAAAATTCCATATCGATCAGTAATTATAATAATTTTAAATAGAAGAAGTATAAGTACAATTTTTTCTGACAAAATGATTTCGCGCAAACATTCCAACGATATTCATCAGTAATTATTATAATTTTAAATAAAAGAAGTAAGATATAATTTTTTTCTGACAAAATGATTTCGCGTATAAATTCCAACCATATTCATCAGTAATTATATAATTTTAAATAGAAGAAGTAAGATAAATATAAATTTTTTCTGGCAAAATGATTTGCGCAATAGCCGAGATCACGTAAGCGTGCTTTTGTGTTAATCCATCACCGATGTTTAAACGTGCCCGTAACAGTGGCACATTTATCTCCGTCGAAAACATATTTTTGGCTAGAATTATTTTTAAAATTATTTATTATATATTGCGGGTGCGCGTATTTCTTTCGATATCTAGGCCACATCATAATCTATCATATATATTATTTATATTTACGTCATCATCATTATATTTATCACTTGTTTGTACGATTAAATACGATATATTAAATATGTTGATTGTAATTAATATTTTAATTATTAATATTTTAATAACTTTAATAAATAGGGCAAATAAATAAGAAATCTCTATTCTTATGTCTTGTAAAATTTATTACATGTTACAAGGCTAAAGTTTGTATATTTTTATATTTTACACTTTTATATTTTTATAACATGAAATTTGGAATTACATAAGACAGTTTTAATTATTAACAATAAATAATTTGTAAATATATACAAATATATTGCTGAATGTTCTTTTTTTGAAGATATATTTATAGACACAACAGTAAATTGATTATCTTGATGAAGAAATGATAAAAGAAATGACAAATTCTTTATAAGTCATATATAAAGACAAGATTATTACCAGTTCGATGATTATTATTATTACATTCCTTTTAAAGTTTTTGCCACATGGTGACACATAACATTATTAACCAGTAAATGGAAAAAATTAATAATGGTTTATTAAACCTGCAAAAAAGTTTTAGCGGAAGATAATTAAAAATTATTTTATTATAATTCACATTTTTTTCTCTATTCTATTCCTGCATTATTATTTTTTTCTTTTTTTAATAATATTGACGAGTTTTTCTCATTTAACGATTATGATACTATAAGATAAGAAGCGACATTCTATAAATTCTTTGTAAATAAGCTATATATGAGGACAAGATTATTACCAGTCGATTATTATTACATTCCTTTTGAAGTTTTTGTTACATGGACACACGTTACATTATTAACTAGTTAATGAAAAAAATTAATAATGATTTATCAAACGTGACAAAAGTGCAAAAAATGGAAGATAATTAAAAATTTTTATTACAATTTATATATTTTTTTCTTGATTTTATATCTTTATTATTATTTTTCTTCTTTATAATATTGACGAGTTTTTCTCATCTAACAATTATGATACTAAAAGCATTCTACAAATTTTTTTATATGGAGACAAGTATTACCAATCGAGTATTATTACATTCCTTTGACTGTTTTGTGTGTTTTGCCACATGGTGGTACATTACATTATTAAACTAAAAAATGAAAAAAATTAATAATGGTCAAACGTTACAAAAGCGCAAAAAATTTCACTGAAGAAGATTAAAAAATTTTTAT